AAAATATTTAAACAATTTTCAATAATAATAGTAAAATATGTGCCACATTCAAAATTAAAACTATATATGTTGACTTTTTTAAGGCAGTTATACAGCGGGATTTGGATGTGTGTGGGCTATTTCTATACTTCTTTGTAAACTAAAGGCATTTGTGGCTCTACTACACAAGGAATGCTTCGGGCACTCGTTTTTTTTCCACCAAGACAAAGTTGATAAGTTCTCTCATTCACAAACTAGCGTAAAGCTACAATGATAGAGCAATCACAGTCGGTGAATCCAAAAGGCTTGATGGGGACAAGGATTTCTGAGAATTTCAAGACATTTCTTAGGTCTAGAAGCTATCATTGAGTACGTGCTGTCCTAGAAAAATACCCTTTAACAGTCAAACTAACGCTTTGTGTGTGTGTGTGTGTGTGTGTGTGTGTGTGTGTGTGTGTGTGTGTGTGTGTGTGTGTGTGATAAACTAATTTATGAAAGAAAATCTCAAAATAGGCCTATATGTAATTCAAATATAGAGAGTAGCATTCAACAATCACTGATTGGCATGGAAAAAGACATCTCATTAAACACCACTGAAACATCAAACCGCCCTGCCTTTCATTGGCCTAAAGTTATGGCAGTGAGCATCACAAACTGATTTTTTTAAACCCCAAAGCCACTTTTTTCTTTTCTGTTTCCCCCTTTTTTTAGATTTCCCCCAACAAAGGCACGAGTTTTGCGTTGTCTTTAGCAGGCCGGGCGCACCGGCATTTGGAGCAGGATCACCTGCCTGTTCTCCGAGGGGTGGCACTTGTTTATGTGCCTGGTGAGCCCCGGCGAACTGTAGAGAGTGGCGGGGCAGTGTTTGCAAGGGTAAATCTGGGAGGAGTGCATGAGGCGCAGGTGTCTCTCCTGGCCAGCCCTGCTGGTGAAGCTCTCCCCGCACACCGGGCACAGCAGGCAGTCCACCGGACTCAGGTTGAGGGGGCTTTGGTTTGAGGCTTCCTCTGAGGTTGATGATGATGATGCTGAAGAGGAGGAGGCTGACACCGGTGCCTGCTCTGCCGCGCGGTCGCTGATTTGAAACCCGTTCTCCTCCAGCCCTTTCTTTTGCAAGGCCTGGTGTCCCATAATGTGTTTTCTTAGGTATGCCTGTCGCTTAAACCTCTTCCCGCAGAACTGGCAGTCGTAACAGCCATCTTCAGAGCCCGACTCGGACAGACCTGGACTCGGAGTGTCTCTATCGCTCATGTCTTTGGCTTCCTCGGAGACCGACTTGACACCTAATGGCGGCATTTTGACCATTTCAGCTTTGATGCCCTGTGCGGGTGGCATTGCCGGTGTGCCTGTGGTCCGGGGTTTGTGCCAGCGGCGGTGGGAGGCGAGGTTGGCAGGGCAGCTGAACATCTTATCGCACTCAGGACACCGGTACTCGACCCTGACAATACGGGAGCATTTGTGCTGAGCTAGAGAGAAAGGATCTGCGTACGCCTCTTTGCACAGCTGACACACGAACTCCCCTAAGGGCTTGTTTCCTCCGGAGGACTGCGCCCTCGGCTTCAACTCCACCGGTCCCTCTTTGATTTTGAGACCCAGCACTGGAGAGGTCGTCACCTCGTCTTCGAAGTTGAGCTTTCTAATGGCTTTAGGTGTCTTGGAGGCGGGTTTAGGTTTGCGCTCTGTACTGTCAGCTGCGGGTCTTTTGGTGGCGACCCGGTTGTTTGGTGCCGGGAGACTGCTGGTGGTGCCGCTACGGCTACTGTTGCTGGTGCCGATTTTCAGGTCGACTGGGGCGTAAAGGAGGTGGTCCAGGCCAGAGAGGGAGGCAGGTGTCGGGAATGACTCGGCAGAAATAGGCGAGCCCAGATTGAAACTTCGCTCAAAATATCCCCTGTCGTGCTCCTTGCTGATGGGCCGGGTGGGGCTGTAGAGGGCTTGGCACACCGCCTCCGGGTCGCCGAACTGTGCCGGTTTCTCCAGTCTTGGTACCGGCGCGTCCGCTGCTGTGAAATCCGGCGATGCTGCGGCGCGGTCCGGACTGGACGCCACGGACATCGGCGGGGATGGATCCGTATTACTCGGCAAGGCAGCTGGGGTGGGTGGCTCCTGGAGGTCATCTTCGTCTGACCGAGTCCTGTAGGAAACATGTGCAGATTTCTTGTTTCTTTTTACCAGGAATCCTTTGGGCATCTTGGCAAGTAACAGCGGAAAGGCACTTCGGGGAGGTGGGTGAAGTCCCGAGTATCCAGGTTTGTTAAAGTATATATATGGCAACACTAGGAGCTTATGGGACTTTATCTCCTCAGTATCGATCCTTCTGTTGCTGAAATGTTTTCGTCTCCAAGGCATAGCTCCACTCTTTTTATGCCGGAATGATGCTATTGTTCTCGCCCCCCTCCCGTTGCAGCATCCCCGACCAATGGGATGAAACCAGGATCTTAGTGGATTTGATTGTGGGAGGGCTCTGAGCCCGGGTTTGGTGGATTTCGTTGGAGGATGTGCAGATAGCTTAGCAGATGTACTGGCGGTTTATTACATTAATGTGTGCGCTCTGCCCCTCCCCGAAAGAGGCACACGCCGGGCCCCTCCTTTTTTTACGGTCTGATGGGCCCCTATACAAACGCACACGTGCCACGGCTTTGTGGGTCTCCTCTGGAGGCCACGGTGCTGCCAAAAGGAAATGTCCGTCACCGCCACAATCATCACAATTTAGAGTAAAGACGAGGACGAGATGCTTAAATATAAAGCGAAACCTCTGCCTCGTTCTTCTTCGCTGTGGTGATGTCCAAAGGGGGAATTCACCTATTAGACAACTGTAAAGCCTGTTGGCAGGTTGTCTCCAGGTTGTCTCCAGGTTGTCTTTCCACCTCTACAGGCTTCACAGTTGTGTTTATTTCATCTGTCCTCCAGCCTCTTTTATGCGCATTATGCAGATCTACCAACAAACTAAACAAGCCAGTTTTTTTTATATACATTCATTTAATTATGCCTTAAATAAACATTGTGGAGGGAGTTGCTCTTTATTTGGGGCACGTGTCTGTCTCGGTAGTTTAAATGGACATATAAATCACACATCTCGCTGCATACATAAGTAATAAGAAGGCCCTCTGGTCTTTGTGCACAATAGCCACGTCTGCTTGGATATCCCTGTCTTTTTTCTGTTTGAAAGGCAAATTGACCTCTTAACTGTGAAACGGGACTCACGGCCAATCTGGCCCAAAGCTAGACGCGTGCTGGGCGGAATCAGTGCTCCAGACAAAGAAGGCCGCAGCAGAGGCTTGTGTTGCAAAATGCAGCACAAATATCCAAAGTTAAACCGTAGCTGCTGTTTGTGCTGTGTTATCCTGATGAATACAGGCTGTAGGCCCACAAATAACCCTACTGTGTATCATCCACGATTTAACTTCGCTTTGTATTGGATCAAATCATCAAGACAATTTGTTGCATGGTTTGTTATAGCTTCATCATTTTTACAAGCCAGCTTCTATAAACCTGTCCAGCTCTGTCGCCTCCTTTCTGCCTAACAAAGACAACTTTGGCCGAGAAACAGGACTGTAGCCAATGTTCTTTCCCAGCTCCCCTATGGTTCCTGTGCATACCTTCTATACCATTTGTCTCCTTTTTTCGTTATAATGGCTAAATGTAGGCTGCAGTGCGCCACTTGGCAGAGAGTGCATTCTTTTTCTTTTCAGTCAGCAGACCAGGGAGGAATTAATCTCTATCGTCGTACATTGTTCCTCTCATTTGCATAAAGCTGCAGTATGACCAAGTCAAATAATTACACAATCGGAGCTGAGCCGCAGGCCTAGGCTCCCTTTCAATGGGTCTCTGTGTCCCGGTGCCTTCTCACCTGCCTCATAACACACCGTTATTTTAGTTAGAGACGGTTACATGACACATTTGGTCGAACTTTAAAGAGAAAAGTTGTTTTACTGTTGTTAAGATAAAGTTAAAACGAAACAGAATTTTTAAATGTTTTAATTCAACTTTGATCTTGTCTTTTTTTTTAAATATTGATTTAAATCAACCTTTTCTGTAAAGTTTTTGTAAAGTGTGCGCGTCACCTAATCTTAAGTACGTTTTTTTAGTTCTCCTTTTGTTTTCCTGGCCTTCTGTGCTTTTCCCATAGCCAATAGTATTTGGTCTAAAATCTAAATGTTGTCATTAAACCTCACTTTGTCCAGGTAATGCCGCCTTTCTCTCACTCTCACTATCTATTAGCTGTTTGCTGGGGCTGTGAGCTTTGATGGCATTTTAACGAGTTCCTCTTTTTCCCGTGGTAATTTCTGTGGGCGCGTGGGCCGGTGTGCTGGCCTTGGCCACTCAGGCGCATGCGCGTGTTTGCTCCGTGGCGCGTGCTGCCCAGCCCGCACGGTAAGCATAGGCGCCTCATTAGCATACAGCTGCATGCTTTAATGCAGGCTCCACCACATACTTGTAAACCTTATCGCATGTTGTAGGACTTGAAATGTTTTTCTTGTTTTCTTCTCACAGGCTGTACTGTCGGTGGAAGTACTCAGATTATATGGTAGAAGTTCAAAAATATGAATGTTTTAAAGTACTCTGAAGTTATGTATAATCATGTTTATGCTTGTTAGTATGTCTGTGTTTGTCCAGCTTTGTGAAAATATTCTTTTCCAGTGATGCCTACACTGTTGCAGACCTGATAGGACATTATTAAACTGTGGAACCAGAAGTTTGAGTTGAAGCCAAATCAGTTTCTGAGCTTCTGGCCTCAGAGCTGAGCTCTAACTTCACTGCACCACCTTCAGGATGACAGATTAATGATGAGGACACAAAGAGAAAATGTTTACCTTCAGTAACCAAACCACTGCATTGAAATCTCTACGGAGGTATCTCTCCATGCTGTTTTTGTCCAACATTAGCCACAGTTAACTGAGAACTCGGAGGGAGACTCTGGTTATTTTGCAAATATTTGATTAAAATGATCCTCGCCACAGATGTACAGCAACCTCTGGTACTTCCCAGATGAATGATTGGCTCCATGTGCTGTGCCAAGTCAGGCCAATTTAAAAGTGCAATAGGACATGACAGTAATTTATGCTCACTACATGGCCACCTTCAATGCATTGTCAATCAATTATTGTTATGGATTAGCTGAGCTCCTATTCTGGCTGCCTGTAATCTGATAGAGGGCTCTTTCAGCACCATGGAGAGATCCAGCGAGGTACCCAGATTTAATCAGGCTGGCTGTGGACACAGCTCAGCTTCGGCCTCAGCCTTTGTCCCCGCAACTGAGAGGATGCAGGCACCAACAGCAGAACAATGACACCGTAGAACTAAAGTGGCAGAATTTAATGAAGTGATTGGTTTTCAAATGTAGTTTTAAATGGGCTTTTGTAAAGTACATTGAAACTCTCTACAGAGAGAAACAATTATTCCATTATGTCTCACTTCTCTTCTATGCCTCATTTATTAATCTACTTGTTTGTCAGTGAGTCTAAATTAATCAGTGCATTTGATCATCACATATGTGGGAGCTTTCGTCCCATGTAAGTTAAATATATTTGTTTTTTGTGCTTTTTTGATTTTATAAATAACGCTACTTAGCCTGCGACCTAGTGCTTTTTATAGAACAAAAGTCTGTTGCTATTTTTAATCCCTCTCTTTCATGAACAGGATTGTTATTTCATACAATTGCACATCATTTCCAGAGAGAAGAAATGTTTCACCACAGTAACAGGATGTTTATGGAACATAAATCAAGTTTCTACAAAGTCAAGGATGGCTCTTTCATTATATTGTGGTGTCAGAGAATAAATAATAACGACAGAGTTCTCTGCCACGGTAGTAACAGATTTACGATGTCACTTTGTATAATAGTTCAGCTAAAGATCTGTGAGCTGTAGAGTCTTTTAAAAAGATGATTTTCTACTGGAGTACAGATCACACAAGTATCCAGTAAATCTTTGTGCGTGTTCAGAGCTGATACCCATGCCTCTTTTTGATACTGAATGTGAAATTATTCAACTCAGATATCACAGATCCAAGAGCTCCTGTTCTTTGTGGCAAGATCTTTGTGACAGTTTCAACAGAGTCAACCATGTGCCACCATTTGGGTCACACATTCTTCATTCCAAATGCCTGGTTTCTCACAGAAAGACTGGGAAAATCATCCGTCGGCAATCTCAGAAAAGTCAATATGTTACGGTGTAAACAGCTGCCAAACAGCACCTGTAAAAAGCAACAATAGTGAAAGGTTTGTAGCAAGCTTCTGGCAAAGAAATCAGACTGTAGTAGCCTGAGGATCAATGTGGAAATTGCCTGTTTGGCCATGAGAGCAACATAGAGGTCACTGTCTGGACTTTAGAGTGTACTTTAGAAGGATGCCCATGAGACCCGCTTACTGTGAAGAGCCCTGTAAAGTGGTATAGCTCTGAGCTTTAGACTAATGGACCTTAGTATTGACTGGGAATGTCCCTGATGTTATCTTTACTTTTGACAATGATGCTGATGACTCTGCGAGGACAAGGACAAATGTTTCTGGGCATTTATGTAATTTCTGAAAAGGTTCTTTGAAGCTGGCTAGTAAATTGCCTTTTTGCAATGTATACCATAGGTTTAGAGTGGATCAAATCTACAGCCACATAAGTAGGAAATGCATTATCAACAATTGCAGAAAGTTGTTTATGACTTCTGGGAAAGCCATAGATTGTTATATTTAATGGCTGTGCACAGATGTATGAACAAAAACTTCAAAGGGACAGCATTAGATTTTCTTTCCCTGTAAAGAGCCTCTTATTAAAAGAGGCCTCCCTGCATATCAGTGGCTGAAATCCCAGGGGCATGTTTAGCTCTAATTTACTCATCAAAAACATCAGAGTGTCTCTCAATAATCTCTTTGGTCCATTGGTTGTTGGGGTGGAGTTCTCCTGTCAGAAAGCATGCCCTGGAATGTTAAACACTAATTCACCTCTGAGCTGTAGAGGTGGATAAAGTGATTGTTCTATCTGGGAGCTGATTAAAACTGGCTATGACCTGTTTCTCCCCTCAGTGTTCACCTCTGACGTCCATCACATTCATTTCTGTATTCATGAGCGGATGAGAAAGCACAGGCAGAGCGGCTGCTGTATTACAAATAATAAGGCCAGCAGGCACCACATTCACTGCCACAGGTTTCCCCCCCTGCCCCAGCTCATTCAATTACTTCATAAGAGTTCTCTGAGGCACAGCTGCACTATGGGGGTGAAGAAGAACAAATTGAGGTACATTCATGTAGATACACACATGCACACACCTCACAGATCCAAAGAAATGGAGGAGGCACACACACACACACACACACACACACACAGTAGCAAGAGCAACCAGAATATAAAGGATCTTACTGACAGACATTTGACTTAGTAGTCAGTACATTTCTCTTACAAGTAAACAACAAAAAATGTCCTCTGTTGATCCCTAAAGATTGTAATGATAGTGATAATGACTCCATGTAAGAAAAATGAAATCAGGGCCATTGCTCATAGACTCCATATATGAGGTCACCATTATCTTGATGAAAGTGTAGACAGCAGCTGTATCATTGCGGAGCATGAAGGATGGACTCTGGCAGACCTAACGCTCATATCCTTTATCTACAGTTTAAGTCAGAAGTTTACACACACACAGGTTCCTTTAAACAGCTGGGAAAATTCCAGGAAATGATGTCATGGCTTTAGGAGCTTCTGATTAGCTAATTGACATCATTTGAGTCAACAGGAGGTGGATCTGTGGATGTGTTTTAAGGCCTACCTTCAAACTCAGTACC